GGAGGGGGGAAGGGAAGAAAATAGAACAAGGTTTTTTGTTGAGAAGAGGTCTACTTAAGTACTGGGGCGAATTTGCTAAGTACCACTTCTTGCGGCTTGAGATGTAGGTGTTGTATACGAGAGGTAAAAATCGTTTACCGTTTTTTTCAAATATTATGAATTTCATTGTATTAAAATGGCCATGACGTTGCCGTTCTTAATCGCGTATAAGTTCTGTAATTGTGTAAAAAGCAAAATTACTTGCATTTTTGTATTCGAGCCAAAACACACTTTTGCACTTCATTTGCCTCTTAAAAGCACTTATGTTTCTTTTAAACAATCCTTAAATAGCAATAGTCAATGAATTCTTTGAATGTTTGCATGGCGATAAAATATAATTGTTTTTGTTTGTGGAAACACCACGTAAATTTATTACTGCAAAGCTTTCGATCCGTAAGCCCGGATCTTCATCAGTGCTTATTAGCACTGATGCTTACGGATCGAAAGCTTTGCAGTAATAAATTTACGTGGTGTTTCCACAAACAAAAACAATTAATAGTCAATGAATTCATATGAAATACCCCACACGAACGTTTTTAATGGTGGCGTGGTGATGAGCCGTGAAAATGATGGAAATGACGTAGCAGTTTGAACAGCTACAGCCTACTAGAATGTTCAAGGAAATACACTTAAAGTCTTAATTGTCGCATTTGTCTTAAAGTAAAAATTCTATTGTGGACGCCTTCATTGACGCTGTATATTTGTCACACTCACTGCTGATAGTGAGCTTAAAGCAAACGACGTTTCATTCTCGTGCCATTTTTGAGCCGAAAATGGGAACAATTTCCGCACGTAATACAAATATACTGAAAATATGCAAACTTCGCAAGGCTATATTTTCTGTATTTTACAACATTTCGCAACCAAATTTTGCAATTTTACTAATTTCATTATGTTATTTTTATTAACTGTTGTGTTTGATTCCCTTAATTTCTTTACTTTATTTAGATTAAAATTTAGTCTAACATGCAAGTTGTCCATTCACATGCACACAAATGACCTCAATAAAAATTCGCTGAACATAGTATGCATGCACTTGAAAATCATTCCTATACCAAAACATTCACCCCTAGTCTAAGGGACCATTCCCACCCATGAAAATGATCCACGGACAAAAAAAGTTTCCGAAAATATCATTGTTAAAAGTTGAATATTTTCAACTTCAGTTTCTTTCAGACGGATAATTTTTTTTTCCCACGGAAAATTTTCTTCAGAACTCGAGTGCACAAAGTGAAGCTAGTTTCGTGTTAACCGCGCAGACAAAAACCATACAAAGGGACTGAAACCGACGTCCAATAGCTCCTTCAATTTCCGCCATCTTGGCAAGGAGTGTGCCGAAATTTCGTACGTTGACATCGATTTAAAGAATAACACTATGGTGTTATGAACTGAAAACTTGTTTAGCGATACGGTCCGTTAAAAATAACTGGGATTAGCTGGGGGAAATAGTTTAAAAGCTTTTTGCAAACCTTCAGAACTATTGGACGTCAATGGCCGCCATCTTGCCTTCACTTTTCTCAACTTATCCCCAGCCTCGTACCCAGGAGGCTTTGAATGCTACGCCGTTGCGTGAAGAGCGCGCGGGACGAATGCCACGCGCACGTCAGGCGACGGCGTACCACACCATAGTGTCTGGGTACGAGGCTGGTTATAATCCAGAATAATTTATACATCACTTTTTCTTTGACAGCCAGCTATGAGAAGAAGACATGGATTCCATTGCCTCCACATCATATGTTTAATATTCTATGCTCCTAGTGCGTTAGCGAATAAATACTACGGAAAAGCAGTTCATATCCCGGGGAATATTACCCTCGGAGGGTTGTTCCCGATACATTCACAAGACAAGAATGGTGAATGTACGAGTATAAATGGAGTATTGGGCATACAAAGACTTGAGGCGATGCTGTATGCTTTACAGCGTATAAACAAAGAGGGGATTATACTACCTGGGATAAAGATCGGTTTGAGCGCGTTTGACACATGCTCTAGTGAAACTACCGCACTGGATCGCACTGTGGAAGAATTTATTACCGACCACAAATGCGGTTCGGAAGGAGACAAAGGGGCTATCGGTGGACGACAAGTTGTAGGCATTGTAGGACCCCTCTATAGCTCTGTTTCTGTACAGGTGGCTCATTTGCTGCGTCTCTTCAAAATGCCTCAGATAAGTTATGATTCCACAAGCTCTGAGCTCAGTGACAAGACGAAGTATAAGTATTTTCTAAGAACGGTGCCGTCTGACTCTCTCCAAGCTCGAGCCATGGCGGATATACTCGATCACTTTGGGTGGACTTACGTGTCAGCTGTGTACAGTGATGATAACTATGGACGTAAAGGGATTGAAGCACTGAGTGTTGAGACAGAGAAGAAAGGTATATATCTGGATATTTTTATCGTTGATATCTTTCAAAAGACGTCGTCTTCCTCTCGGCATTATAACTTACGAAGCTCTTCCACTAAACTCTATTTGCCTAATCCTAAAGGCTAGTTTACACAATCGAAGTTTCTATGATCACAGACAGTATGAATTTTGCATAGGTAAATTATAGGTTTTCAAGAATTTGTAAGAAATGTTTGAGGGAATTGACTCGGTGTTAAACACAGACTGTCTATAACGGCTACTGACATCTGACGATCAATAGTAAAATTTTATTTTAAACAGTTGACACGTTTTCATCATAGACACTATAAAAACATTAGTCAATCATCAGTTAGCTCTGTCCTGAGGCATTAATTAGTCACTTAAATTTAATTTCCCATATAGGTATTTGTATCGCAGTACGAAAAACGATCCCGTATCATGCAGACAATAAGACGTTTGAGGCGATTATAAGAAGACTTCTGGCTGAAAAGCAGGCGCGTGTAATCATCGTGTTCTGTAGCAAGAAAGAAACTATCATATCACTTCTTCGAGCGGCCAAAGCACAAAACGCCGTAGATAAATTTCAATGGATCGGTTCAGATGCTTGGATTACAGTAAGCTGGCTGGGTGAACTTCAACCGCTTGTTCGCGGTCTCATTTCGGTTCAACCTGCGTCCGACCCAATTGACGAATTCCAGAAATATCTATTTCAGAGAGTGCCAAGTTCGAGTGATGTTAATCCGTGGTTTCAAGAATACTTCCGTCAAACCGTGAAATGTAATACGCTGTCTTACATAGGCCCAGACGACTACCCGCGCTGCAATTCACAGCATACATTGCGCAATGCGAATTTCACAATTGATAACGGCGTGACGCGCACTATTGACGCAGTTTATGCGTACGCGCACGCACTTCAAGAAATTCGCGAATCAAAGTGCGGCGAATCTCCCATAATTTGCGATAAAATGAAAGAGACTTCGGGCGAAGATATGTTAAAAGCTTTGAAGAATGTCACGTTTGAAAGCATCAATAACAAGAGGATTTTCTTTGATAAAAACGGTGATGTACGCGCCAGGTACGATATTTACTACTTCAACCAAACTGCGGTTAATAAATATCAAAATGTTCGTATTGGTAAATGGATAGATAATCTGACTATGCATCCTATTGCAAAGAACGCATTCAAGCCAACGAATTCATTTTGTGGTAAACAATGTAAAAGTAACGAGGTGAAGTTTGGTATACCTGGGAAGCCATCTTGCTGCTGGGAGTGCAGGCCATGCACTGGAAATAAGTTCGCATTCAATCAAACGTCTTGCAAGACATGCGCCCGCGGTTTCTGGCCACACAACGATAAACAGCGGTGCGTTCCGTTACCTCCACGATACTTCACGTTAAATACAGATTATGTAGACTTGTACTTAGTACTCCCGCCTCTGGTTGTGTCTATTCTTGGATTTATATCCGTGGTATATGTCGCAATTATCTTCGCGAAATACAACCAGACGCCTCTGGTCAAGGCCTCCGGACGCGAGTTGTCATACTTGTTATTAACCGGTTTATTTTTCTGCTATACCATGCTTATAGCCTGTCTTCTAAAACCCTCACCGTACGTATGTCTGGTTGAGTTCCTTTTGGACAGCCTGCCGTTTACAATATGCTACGCTGCCGTAATCGTAAAAACCAATAGGATCTCAAGAATTTTTAACCGTCGAAATTTGACCAAACGTCCGCAGTTCATTCATCCGCAGTCACAAATCTGTTTCTCGTTTGTGCTGATTGCCGTACAAGTAATGCTTCTCACAGCCTTTTGTCTTCTTCAGTTACCACGAGAGAAATATTGTATCTATCAGATTCGGACGTTGTACTCATATGCGCTATCTCTGATAAAGACTTCCTACTCTCGCAAATTTATAACTTCGTGTTGATCATTGTATGCACATACTATGCGTTCAAGACACGGCGGAGTCCTATGAATTTCAACGAAGCAAAGTATATCGCGTTTGCGATGTATTGCACATGCGTACTGTGGTTGGCATTTATTACAGTGTATCTCGTACAGACTGACGTCATGCTGAAGGCGTGTATACGATGCCTCAGCATATCCCTCATTGCCACTATTCTTCTCGTGTGTCTCTTCGTTCCCAAGGTGTACATTATCATATTTAAACCGTCGGAGAACAGGAAACGGCCAACACTACCAAGTCATAGTGTGTCCAGTCTTAACGGGGAGCAAACTCCGGCGAGGTCTCATGCCACATTGCCTATCGAAGTAAATAATTCGAGGTAAGATTCTTATTAATGTACATAGTCGAACTTTTTACAAACACCTCTCTAATACGAACACATTTCTGACTAATACGGACATCTCCCTAATACGGACACCATCTCTGATACAGACACATCTCTAATAGGGACACCTCTATGATACAGGCACCTCTTTAATACGGACACCTCTCTAATACGGACACCTCTCTAATACGGACATCTCCCTAATACGGACACCATCTCTGATACAGACACATCTCTAATACGGACACCTCTATGATACAGGCACCTCTTTAATAGGGACACCTCTCTAATAGGGACACCTCTCTAATACGGACACCTCTCTAATACGGACACCTCTCTAATACGGACACCTCTCTAATACGGACACCTCTCTAATACGGACACCTCTCTAATACGGACACCTCGCTAATACGGACACCTCTCTAATACGGACACCTCACTAATACGGACACCTCACTAATACGGACACCTCTCTAATACGGGCACCTCTCTAATGCAGACATCTTTCTAATACGGACATCTCTGATAAAGACACATCTCTGATACATGCACTTCTCTAATACGGACACCTCTCTAATACAGACACCTCTCTAATACGGACACCTCACTAATACGGACACCTCTCTAATACGGACACCTCTCTAATTCGGACACCTCTCTAATATGGACATCTCTGATACAGACACCTCCCTAATATGGACACATATCTAATACAGACACTTCTCTAACACAGGCACATCTCCATTACAGGCACCTCTCTACTACAGACACCTCTCTAATACAGACACTTCTCTAATACAGACACCTCTCTAATACAGACACTTCTCTAATACAGACACCTCTCTAATACAGGCACCTCTCTAATACAAACACATTTCTAATACAGACACCTCTCTAATACAGGCACATCTCTAATACAGACACATCTCTAATACAGACACATTTCTAATACAGACACATCTGTAATACAGACACTTCTCTAATACAGACACCTCTCTAATACAGACACTTCTCTAATACAGACACCTCTCTAATACAGGCACCTCTCTAATACAAACACATTTCTAATACAGACACCTCTCTAATACAGGCACATCTCTAATACAGACACCTCTCTAATACAGACACTTCTCTAATACAGACACCTCTCTAATACAGGCACCTCTCTAATACAAACACATTTCTAATACAGACACTTCTCTAATACAGACACCTCTCTAATACAGGCACCTCTCTAATACAAACACATTTCTAATACAGACACATCTCTAATACAGACACATCTCTAATACAGACACATCTCTAATACAGACACATCTCTAATACAGACACCTCTCTAATACAGACACCTCTCTAATACAGGCACCTCTCTAATACAGACACCTCTCTAATACAGACACTTCTCTAATACAGACACCTCTCTAATACAGGCACCTCTCTAATACAAACACATCTCTAATACAGACACATCTCTAATACAGACACATCTCTAATACAGACACATCTCTAATACAGACACATCTCTAATACAGACACCTCTCTAATACAGACACCTCTCTAATACAGACACTTCTCTAATACAGACACTTCTCTAATACAGACACCTCTCTAATACAGGCACCTCTCTAATACAAACACATCTCTAATACAGACACATCTCTAATACAGACACATCTCTAATACAGACACATCTCTAATACAGACACATCTCTAATACAGACACCTCTCTAATACAGACACCTCTCTAATACAGGCACCTCTCTAATACAGACACGTCTCTAATACAGACACTTCTCTAATACAGACACCTCTCTAATACAGGCACATATCTAATACAAACACATTTCTAATACAGACACATCTCTAATACAGACACTTCTCTTATATCATAATAATACCTCTCTAATACGAATCTGCTCCACGATAGTGGTTAGTGACACTTGCCTATATATTCCATTGTCATAATAAATGAAAAATAAATGATCTCTTCAGATACTGGAGGTAGGACATGTTCAATGACAGAGTAAGACATGTACTATTTTTTCTGTAACCAGGGCTTTAGATTGCCCACAACACGATGGTGCGTTTCCCAGAGGATCATACAGACCAAGAAGTTCAACAGATCCTCGGAGATTTGATAACGACAGAAGAACATGGCGATATTCGTTGCCACCAGATCAATTTTCTCACTCGACTGAACCACGGAAACCGGAAAGAGAGGAAGAAATGGAGATAGAAATGAAAGCATTGATCGAAAGGTAAATAAAAGTGAAAGGTATACTTAGGAGGATCTAATGTTTCCTTGCAGCTGAGAGCTGAATAGACACAGCTTAGCCTATTGCTTCCAACGTGCGACCAATATCTGACCACGAAGCGCAGCTAAGGTGGAAGGGTTACTTTTTGAGGGAAGAAAAACGGACGATCCGGAGAAACAGTCGCGGCACAGGAGAGAACCAACCACAAATCTACTTATAGCTAAATTTTCAAGCACATTAAATCAGTGGAGGGTAGTTATCCATCCTAAATAATACTCTACTCCCAACCTACTGTAGCAGGGTAGCTGAGCGTTTTTAGCAGTGCGCTAACTAAAGATAGGTTTTCTTTAAAGGCAATACACTTTACTGTTTATTGCACTTTTGTGGATTAGTTTCTCCTTGATCTTTAGCCCAATCGCAAACCTTAACCTTAGGGCGCTTTCCATTAACACGGCCAGACCGGTCAGAACGGTCAAATTGTTGAATGGAACACAAAACATTTGGGCTTCGGACCTATATGACTGGAAAATTTAGATAACATTAGAATGAGGTTCATTTTCGCTAGATATTTGAGAAACATAGACCAGATGTTTCCATTGATACGGAGAAAAGTATTCAGGTCTGACCGGTCAAGCCATTAAATGGAAAGCGCCTTTACTATGCACGAAGCATTAGGAAATAACCACATGAAAACGAGGCCATTGAGGCAAAAGTGCAATAAACAGTACAGTCTATTCAGCGACTGAAGGACGTCGATCTAATAGCTTTTGTTACTAATTTCGGTCACGTAATTTTTACCTACGTACCAATCGTTAACAATTATAATTTACTCTAGACTGGCAGTTCTGGAATCACTTCTTCACCAGCAGCGACAGACGGCTGGTTCCTTCCAAACTCGCGAGATTCAAGGTGCTTTAAAGTCCTGTCAAAGTCTTATGGCTGAAGTAAAAGGACACAGCAACTGTTCAATACCAGAATGCGTTGAGAATTGTACTGGTGATCACTGCTCATGTACACCACAGACCTCAAACTGTACCAAGCCTGATAACAGAAGCTTACTGATGACCTATGCACAAACTCCTAAAGGTCCACAGAGTTCAAAAGATCCGGAAATCGCAACAGCACAGCATAAGAAGCCTAATGGGAATGTACTTACCGTACCGAATTCTAGAGGGATATTTAAGAACTCCAAAGACAAAAATGATAAGATGGGGTTACTACAATACCAAATGTCTCCACTGAAACGTAAATCAGCTTCAGAAGCGTAACATTGGAAGAAGATGTACTTTCTTCTACTGGGAGCATAGAACATTAGGAAAATGCCAATGACCAGGAGTCGGAAGCTGGTCATCCTAGGTTATCATTGAACTTCAAAGCAAATTTCCCAATAGCTTGTTTGCAAAGTTAGAAATATTTTTCCAGAAATGGATCAATAAAGATTTTCCAAAGTTTTAGATCAAAGCGACGTGCAGAAATGCGCAAACCAAAACCTATGAAGAGGTCCTTCATTGCTTCAGCAGGTCCTTCATTGCTTCAGCAGGTCCTCCAGTGCAGCAATTCTATCATGATTCTTGCCCAAAATACAATAAGCTAACAAAACGTTGAACAAATTAATGAACATTTCCAACTTCTATGTACCAACGTCTTTAAACTCGCATCGGACCAAAAGAACATGGCACTTTTTATATCGTCTCTATGAGACTCCATGAATAACAAATAAATATTAATATTTACTAATTTTAAACCAAATAATGTATTTAAAAAAAATATAAGTATGAAAAGATATATTATGTTAAAATATCAATATCAAAATTTGTGTTTACCAATTTAATATGTAATATAATGTGTTTTTGTTCCTTCGAGTTCTTTGAGTTGAATTATTGGATGAATATATTGAAAAATAATTGGTTTTCAAATGCTTCCAAAGGTTTAAGGTGATCAACCAGGGCTTTCATGATCTTTTGAAGTAACATACTTTATAGCCACAAGCCATGGCTCGAGGTATGCCTAAAACAGGCATACTTTATAACCACAAGCCATGGCTCAAGGTATGCCTAAAACAGGCATACTTTATAGCCAAAAGCCATGGCTCGAGGTATGCCTAAAACAGGCATACTTTATAGCCACAAGCCATGGCTCAAGGTATGCCTAAAACAGGCATACTTTATAGCCACAAGCCATGGCTCAAGGTATGCCTAAAACAGGCATACTTTATAGCCACAAGCCATGGCTCAAGGTATGCCGAAAACAGGCATACTTTATAGCCACAAGCCCTGACTCGAGGTATGCCTAAAACAGGCATACTTTATAGCCACAAACCGTGGCTATAAGGTATAGGGGTATGACGAAACCCCGTCTCTATTATTAACTGGAACATGTGTTGTTGTCCTGGGACTCAAATGGTGACGCCGACACACCCCTATAGTCTTTAAGATATTTGATCATGGTTTGAAGAGGGTGAATTATAATGGTACCCCACACCAAGCTCGTTCCTGGGAACGAGGTTGCCCTTTACACTTGCTTGGTCTTCAAATTTCCAACCTGCGAACGGGCATCCTTCATTTAGTTGTGTGTATGATTTGGTGTGTATTGAAGTAAAAGGATACAGGTAATTAGTACGTTTATAAAATTTAGAAAGATTTAAACTGTTTCGTGCGTATACTTACGTATGAAATACGCTTAATTGGAAAGCAGCCACAGTGTAGAAAGCCGGGTATCATTGAGAGTGCGGTTATATGGTTATATGGCGTTAATGATGGACTTCGCTTTATCTTTCATTGATCTTTGGCTATCATTGAAGGTTAAGGCACACCCAAAGATGACAGAATCTCTTGCTTAATTGGTTAGACAGTAATTACTGCGGTGAAAATATTTTAAAACAATTCTACTCATTTCTCATTACTGTTCATACATTATAGGAAGCGTTTATAAATCCTCACATGGGTGTCGTGTGTGATCACACTGTGATGGAAGAGCGTACTTTTTTTTAGTAAACGAAGAAGTAGAACTGCCGTATACATTTATGGAAGGGTTTTGTTCATGGAAATTTTCGAGTGTAAATTTTACACATTTATCAGACCCGAACATTTCCCCTGGAAAATATCCATCAACCAATCCCTTCACTAAAATTAGTTCTATCGAGTAAAATGCCTAAAAATCCTGGTATTTACCCATACACCTTACATTGACATCACCTTAGTATATCTATCTACATGAACTGGCGGTTAAAGCTCGGCAACTGGTCTCTGTAGCTCAGTTGGTTAGAGCACTGCACCGGAATCGCAGGACCACAGGTTCGATTCCTGCAAGAGAGCCCACAGTTGCATTTTTCGCAACTGCTCCTGGTTAGGTCTAGAAAATGTATAAAATTCACACTCGAAAACTCCATCAACAAAACCCTTCTGAATCCAAGAAATTATGGTATTTATACCCACGCATATATGTTTACGAACTCTCATTGTATAGTATAGTTACGATCCGAGATGCAGTAACCCCTGAATACAAGTAAAACCCCGCATATAAGAACGTAGAATTTAAGATCCTGTTAGGCTAGAATATTTTATTTAGATCCCCTTTAAATAAGAACCTGTTCAGGCTAGAATTTCATAACAGATTCTTATATGAATTTTTCTGTGTTCGTGTTGTGTACTCAGGTGAATAATATGTTTGCGATGTTACTCTGAGTGCATATCCACACCGGGCGAGCTTGAAAAATATGCCCGGCCACGGTGGGATTCGAACCTACGACCTTTGGAATACTAACCCAATGCTCTTCCAACTGAGCTACGCGGTCAGGACGGTTCGAGTAAGTGATATTTCGGAACAGTATCTAGTTCCTTCAATACCAATGTGTTCTAGTAATATGAATTTTTCTGTGTTCGTGTTGTGTACTCAGGTGAATAATATGTTTGCGATGTTACTCTGAGTGCATATCCACACCGGGCGAGCTTGAAAAATATGTCCGGCCACGGTGGGATTCTTATAGTATCAAATAGAGTCAAAATTAAGTAACAAGTTACAATCAGTGTAGTCTTAAAGTGCGTATAGTATTGGTATAGTGCATATACTGTCATTTCTTAGATCATGCATTTGTGCATAATTTATATAATCGATATACCATACCTCCCTAAAATGAGTCGCTTTTCTCTTAAGAAAATATAAGAACCTATTTACGGAACCTGCTTAGCCTAATTTCCTGGTAAGCACCATTCACATAAGAACCTGTTTAAGCTAACTTGGAAAATCTGGGGTTTTACTGTATTTGCTAGCATATTTGCATACGTTCGTGATCATTCGTGCGTTTTGATAAAATTGTCATTCAACTAAACAAATTAAGAATTTGGTTGATGTTTGACCTTCAATATGCTTCCCATTTTTCTTCGCTCACACGCATCGGTAAATCTTTTCGGTAAATGGCCACACCCAACTACGTTCTAAACTGTCATCACGTGTTTTCTGGACTAAATTTCCATCACCATTAGCGGTAAATTATCTTAATTTAAATATATGTTACAATCAAGTGTTTCCGGATTAAGATATTTCGAAACTATTCAATTTACCATTAATCGACTCGAGCGTTCTATATAGTTCTACAGCAGACTACTGGAGCCACGGCTTCGTATAGAACGTCTCAACTCATGCAACGAGCCTATAGATAAAATAAATACTTGAACAAAACCATTGTCACGCTCATTATGCGTCATTATACTTTTATCAGATTGTAGCATCCTTTAAGTACCTTCTTATAAACAATGTTTAACACTACAGAGTCCATTTGCTAAGCATTAACCACGATTCATGTATATTGCAGCTAATTTAAAAAAGGTTGTCCTTTACACTGAATCTTAAACAAAACATAACGGGAGCATCATTTAATCAGTTTAGAAATCTTATATGGGGCCCATTTCATTATAGACTAAATTTTGATCTAAACAAGTCTAGACAAAAATCACCAGCTTCATCACAGCTTGAAAGAGCATCACAAAATTAGTAATATTCCAAAGTTTCGTTGCGAAATGTTGCAAAATGCGGACAATATAGCCCTGCGAAATTTGCAATTTTCAGTCATTTTGTATTACAAACGGGAAATTGATGTCCCAACACCCGATTGGGCTGTCAATTTCCCGTGCGTAATACAAAATGACTGAAAAACGGCAAACTT